CCGAGGCTCCATCCCATGAGACAACCCGCATCCATCTTGGGCAATGACCGTACATCATGAATGCATCACCCTTGTTGGCAGCTCAGCTGAGCCGGACTCCTCCTCCCCTTCGCAACGAATTCTCTCTCTCGGCGTCCTACGACGCTTGACCAAGTGACTCAGTCCTTTCCTTTGTCCTTTCCTTTCGCACCCGCTGACGGCTGCAGGACAGCCTTAACCCAAGACATACGATTGAGACCATTCAATTCATCCGTCACCCCTGTCGTGCGGATGCATCGCGGATGTGCCGTTTGTGGATTTGGTTCCGCCGATCGACCTTGAGGAGGCTGACCACAAAACTTGCGCTGTTTCACCCCGAACCCTCATGTCTCCTCGACTGCACACCCTTGTCGCCGTTGATTATAACCTCTCGTTCGTTCTTCTCCGTTTTAGAAGCTCACAAACCGATATCCTTTGCAGTAACCTTATCCTAGGCTTCGCCATTGCCGATATTGTTTTCATCTCGCTGATATTGGGTCTCTGTCTCTGGGCTGCGTGGAATACTGTGTCGAGGCGACATCTCAATCGTGTCAGCTTTCGGCTCCTCATATACGCCCTGATAGCGTAGTGCGTGAACCTTACCCACTTCATCCCGCACGCCCTTAACTAATGTGACTCCAGTCTCGGGTGCTCAGGGTGCGTGATCTGCGCCGTCAAACTGGGTCCGGGGGCGGCATGTAGTGGCACTGCATTTTTCACCGACGTGGGTGTCTCTCTCCGAACTCAAACCTCTTGAAACTAATTCTTTGTGTCTCTCGCAGGCCTGTATCCTATTCGCTGCAATTATGTTCTTCTCTATGGCGCTCAACCTGCAGTGAGTTTTCGACGCTGTGATCTCCCTATCTGGGGCACTAATCCAGACGTAAAGACTGGTGCTCGTTCACGGCGTAAATGGCCAGAGAATGGAAAAATATTATCTTTCAGCCGCCGCGATAATGACGTTGGCGTGCACTATTCCGCCGTACGCGGCGGGCGCGTTTGGGTTCGTTGCCTCGTTTTCTCTGGACAACCTTTAACGCAGAAGCAGTTATGAGGCCGGGTGTTGGTTCAATAGCCCAGACTCCGTTGTACGAGTACGATGGTGGGTAGGATCACTGGGCCTGTGGCTATTTCTCCTGTCCACGGGTGAAGTAGTTTCATTCGTCATGATTGTGGGATCCATGGTGAGTTCCCAATGTTCTGGGCGATAGTTCCCGCTTTCTCATTCCCATTCAAGATTATGCGTCATCGGGCGGTGTCAGCGATTTCTACTGAATCTTCCGCCTCGTCTTTCTCAAAGGGCCCGACGCTCCTGAAGCCGCCTATTGTTACATACCGCAGTATCATCTTGCGAATCGGCGAGTCGCGGTTATATGGTTACATGGCTCGGCTGATTCGGCGACAGGATTGTACCCACTCGTTTCTTGCTTCTTTATCACTACTACGGGCGCCCTTGACCTCCATTCGATTCTCGATACAGTCCAGACAGAAGTGGTTCGTCCCTTCCATTATCAAACGGCCTTTCGGGTTCCTCATCCTCGTCCGCCCAGAACTGGAGACTGAATCTCCTTGGTAAGTTCTGGATCCCAGCATCGCCGTCATGTTACGAACTATGTCCAGATTTGTTGCTCTATGCCCTCCGGCCGATGACCTATACCCTCCTTGCTGCAACCGATCCTGTGCGTATCCAGCTAACTCTTTCTCTCGTTCTCTTCGACTCTAACATACCCTACTCAGTCGTTTTTACGTGCTCTGCGTGCCCTCCGTGGCTCCGAACTCAAGGCGTCAATCAACCCTGTGCAGGTCACCGTCTCCACCATCACCTGGAGGTCAAGCATGACCAGTTCTACCGCTCGTCCTTCAACAAACTGTGATATCGACGTGGGACTCAATTCTATCAAAGCGGAAGAAGCGGATTCGGATAGATTTGAGGACAGCTTTACTCGCCAGATATGATTTTCCCTTGGAGATGAAACTTAAATGTACATATTTAGCCTTAGAATACATTATCTTCTCTTTTCACCTACGCGCGGAAGGTTGGAGGATGGAAATGCGTCTTAGGTCCTTCCCATTGAAATCTAATGATTTCTGAGGACCCATGACGCCGAAATTAGGCTCAATCCCATCAAAACGGAGGACAGGAGAATGGAACAGTTTTACTTGTCAGATATTTTATCTTTTTTCATTGGGGATGAATGATCACACATATCCTGTCAGTGGCTGACTACACGACACCTAGATCATGCATGTTCCCAGATTTGGGAGCATTTTGTACCATAACAGTGGAGTTGTCGTCAGATTGTTGATTTTAAACCTTGGGAAACTTGAATACTCGACCACGGCTTGAGTCAGCAGGCAGCAAAGGCGGCTTGGGTCTGGCCTTGGCTTTAGAAACCAAGGCAGGAGTCAGATCAAATGACGTTGAAGTCGGGCTCTCAAACCATACCAGGACATGCCTACTGACGTCCGATTCCTTTTCGCTCTAACTCACTCGCGTGTACTAGATTTGAGGCATTCATAATAAATTTGGGTTTGCTAGAGATACACACACGCTCCCGATGTTGAGATGACACGCCGTCTGCCGCGCGCTCAGCTCGAGGTTGCGTGCACCTGTACTGATGAACCCAGCTGGTGGCAAAAAATAGATTTTGACATAATCAATCAGTCACGTGTACCGTCGCGCACAGACCACCCTCGAAACATACATAAGGCTCGCGTCGACATAAGAGATTCTTCAGATACATACTCATCAGGATCTTTTTATAGAAACTGACCGAGTCTCGCATTTTTACAAATGCCGCATCCTTCAATTCCACTCGATGACTTTCGCGCTCACTCGTTTAACCGAGAACATGGCCCGCTCGCGCGGGTCTCGAGGACGTTTGGTTCTCTTTCTGTTCGTGCTCGCGAGAGCTGAACGGAGGACGACCAGCGAGTCGAGCGTTTGTCTGATGGAATATTTAGTACATATTTTACTTGGCTTCTGCTATAAATTTGTTCTCCTGAAAACGTCTCGTGAAGCGATTTCAGCTTTTCCATCGTTTCTACTTTCAGCTTGTGCAGCGACAGCAAACCTTGTGCCACAGTTACATCACTGGCGTATGGGAAGCTTTGCATCAAAGGATGATCGAACTACGGAGGTAGGTAGGTAGGTAGGAGGAGGAGGAATACTGGCGCGGTCCCACAATTGGAACAGCCAGTTTAATTTATCCTCCTCCTTCTAAGAACAAACATGTAGCTAGAATATGGGTGGCTATCCACATTTAGCTCCAAGATGCCCGTAGAACACGACATAATACCAGCGGGGGGGGGGGGGGGGGGGGGCGGTAGTATAACATAACACGGCACGGTCCCGCTGAGGAACGCCGGCTTCAGGAAGTATCTAAGCAGGCATCAGTGTACACTATTGTCCCTGACCTCTATATATCTCCCGAGCTGAGCTCACGCACCCAGTCTCCTGTCACGCTGTAGAACCCAGTCGACACATAGAAGCAAAATTAGTATGGGCTAGAAACGATACCTCTAGTCAGTTAGGGCCTGATTGGGTGCGCTTCCGCCTACGCCTCCGCTTTCTTGCAACTCATCGGTAATTCGGCTGGTGTTATTCCAAAAACATGCACGCAACCTCAACCGTCGGCAAGCGGCTCTTTTCTGCGGTGAGCACACCCCTGCTGCCTAAATCTCATCTTTCGTTGAGCACAGCTTGATATCTAGTAACACATTAAGTACAACAGAATTTACTACTTACAATTGTCTTCCGATGTTTTAAAGGAATTTCGCACTGCGTCGGCAGAGGGCGGGAAGCCAGTGCGTGGAACGCGAGTGAGCGGGAGACAATGTTGAAGAGGTTTGATGCTTGTGGTCTGGACCAGAGTGACAAAGGTCTATCACGCTTTAACCGAGCACAGCCCTCAGAAAGTGGCCAACTAGGATTTGGCAGGCAAGCAGAGGCCCTTAGCCATCCTGAACACCGGAGTCGCATAGAAAACCTCAAGAACTTACTCCGAACATCCGTCCGGGTGTCGAAACTCCGAGATACCGCCGTTTGCGAGTATTCATAAAGGACTCAGGACGTTCTGAGTTGTCGGAAGGTGGTGAAATGGGCTATAACAGTGGATAGGACGTGGGTGGATGGTCGCTCGGTTGCAGACATGACTATCCTGCCGTCAAGGTTGCCCAAGAGTCGTTTGTAAGGTTTTTATGGGGGCTCGGATTTGGTGCGAGTCGGCAAGTCAAAACTGTCCGCGTTGTCAGGTCTTCCCGTGAAGGCCGAGTGTGCCTGGTGTGCCTGGTTGCTGTCCTGGCCCGTCTGGTACTCGTACGAGTCGTCGTAAATGCTGGAATCATTGAGTTGTTGGAAGTAGATCCGAATGAGGCAATGTTGTTTCCTAATTGGGCAAACTCAAGTGAGTGGGAATTGCAAGTTGTCGTGTGTCATCCACGCAAGCCATGAGGTGGTGTGAGCGGTGCAGCGCAAACACAAGCCCCACTGCGCATCACGCAATCACTGCTTGTAGCATACACTGACACATTTTTCAACTCTCTGAAGCGAGAAGGGACTTGAGGCTGATGGTATGATATTGTATGTCGTCCGCCGTGTTCTTCCAGAGTCACCGGGGAAATAAAACCCCGTAGAGAGAAGAAAAAATTTGAGTGGGGGTAGAGACAGATTTATATCCGGCATCGGAAGAGATTAATTGTGCTGTGTTGGTACTCTGACGGCATGTACTCGGTCGGATTCGGCTCCTGCTTCACATTTTGTTTCGACTCTCTATTTCATTCAAAGTACGACAACGACTGTGATTTGCCTAAAAGCGCATCTTCAATCCATCCCCACGGGCCTCTTCATCTTCACACGCTGCCTGAGCCTTCTGTCGTCCAGCAGAAGAAGAAGTTGTTGCTAGAGAGCAACGGAACGTTGGTGTTCGAGGGAAATGGTACCACCAAGGGCGTCAATGAAGGACGTATAAAGGTCAAAAAGATGATTGGAATGGGATTCGAACCCATGCCCTTTCGGACTAGATTGGGTCAAGAAACACCTGATTCTAGCGCCTTAGACCGCTCGGCCATCCAACCACAAAGATTGTTGCGCGCTTCGTATTACAGACGGCAGGATTAATTATCTAGGTAACACAAACACTTCACCGAAAACACTGACGGTCGGCCTCAATCTGTAAATCTTCCAAGCAGCAGCGTTTGACTACTACCACATTTCAATTAGATAGCCACTTGCGTCCCCTCTCATCAGAGTCATCACTCCTCCAATGATCGGCACCGTAACGGCGTAACCGCAGCAAAATCTCTTTACGGTACGGGTACGGTATTCCCCTCTATAGCTTCGCGGTGGGAATCTAAGTGCCAAGAGGGACGAAGATAGGTAAACAAATGGTTGAATCCACCGTCGGGAAGTCCACTCACCGTTGGTTTCAAGTGTTCTGCCCCTGGGCACCCGCAATTTCAAACCGTAAAAGTCCGGCTTTACGGGTTCCCAAACTCGTCCGGTAACCGTCCCGGATGGGCCCAAAATCACAACCCGTATGTACCATAAACTGTACAGGCATAACCGTATACGGTGCGGGTGTCGATCCCTACACTCGTCACTCCCGATAACAGTCAACACAGTATACAAGCGGCCGTAAACCATACGGTGGTCGCCCTCAATGTATGCAAAATTATAATATGAGGGAGGCGGAGGTTTGATTCCTCTCGGTAGCGTGGGTTTACTCTGCGAGTCTTTTTGCTTCGCTATTTTCCCCTGGACAAAAAATGCATCCATCACGCATGCATATCTTCGCAGACACTTTCGGGTTGCTTCAATATTTACATCCGGTTCATGGTGGTCGCCCTCGCACCATAAGCCGTGAACATATAGAGCTCGGGGGAGCGGAGGTTCAATTCCTCCCGGTAGCATGGACGGGCATGACCTGACCTTTTTTCTGTCTTCAGGTGAATCAGGGAATACTTTGCGATTTGTGTGAAATGGATCGGTCGATGCACATACACTTCGAAGGCAGACGTGAATGCTCCGGAGCGCACTCGGTTCCAACTATGTAAATCATTAAATATTACGCCCTGGTTGAATGGCACGCACCTCATTTATTCGTTCGCCCATCCGTCCACTCAAGCTGTAATTGGACCATGCCTCCTACCATAATGCTGCGATATCTGGCATCAAGTTGTGAGGGAAGCGGAGGTCCGACTCTTCCCAGCAGCGCACGAAATGATTGGGGTCTCTTTTTCCGGTCCTTCATTCTTTCCTCGACGGATCGCACCTTTTCAAGTCCCCTTTTAAATTGACACAGTTCGAGTCGCTTCAAATACCACTGCCGCATTTTTAAATATCAATCCAGGTCAACGCCCCCGGATTTTGTATTCCCACTGCGCATGCACATACTTCTTTGTGGCTCCCGTCAGTCAGTGTGACGATAAAGCAACACCGGATATGCCAATGGCCGTAGACCATGTTGGTCGTCCTCCTACCGTGATATAGTTCAATGGGTTGTAAGGGAAGCGGAGGTTCAACTCCTCCCGGCGGCGTGGTCAGTCTTGAGTTCCGTTTTTATCCTTGATTTTCGAGCAGCCTGTGACGCCATTTCACCTGAAAAATCCCTCAAGTTTTAAATCAGGATCCAGGCCCCGCGATTTTAGACTTCTGCACGCATATTCACGATTCGCTTGACGACGAGAGCAACAAACATACCAGCGGCCGTAGACCATGGTGGTCGCCCTCCTGCAATAACAGTGGTCCACTGAAGTTATGAAGGCAGCGGAGGTTCGATTCCTCCCAGCCGCGTCCATGTTCAATCCCAAACTTGTTCTTCTTTTTTCGACGAAAATGCAGTATCATGCATGCACATTTCCGAGGTCCTCTTGCACACTGGTAACATGTCGCTTGCAGTCTCCTCAAAGCCGGGGTCAACACCGAGTGCACAACTTCGGATTAACCATGCTACTTCGCTGTTCCAGCCAGTGTCACCACAAACACAACAAACAGTATGTTGACGGCCGTAGGACATGGTGGTCCCCCTCCACCATTGACCGCTCGTGCGCCGCATTTGCGAGGGAAGTGAGGGTTCGATTCCTCCCGGCGGTATCATTGGCCTCGCGTTCAAAAATTACCTTTTTTTTTTTTTTTGTTCTCCTGCTCCTGGAATACATCAGTGGATCATCAGTGGTGTAGAGAGTCGAACTTCAAAACGATTGTGAAGCAGCCCCAGTGAAAAAAGTGCTTGATGACCAGAATCAGAAGCGTTGACGCAGGTTCGAGAAGTGACCAAGTTGCTAATTCCTGACTGTGAATCCCCAGACCGCGCGCCAATTACCCGATCTTCGACTCACCTCCTATCCCACCTCGGAACTCGCTCTTCCTCCGCACGAAACAAAAAAACGATCGCAATTCAAAGCTACACGTACACGATTTCCCCTCCTTCCTTCTTTCCCTTCCTTCCCTTCCTTCCTTCGTCTTCCTTCCAACTTCTCTCCTCTACGTCGTGCAGTGCTCAGGCTAGCGCTACCTCACAGCCACCGCATAACAACCACACTATTCTGCAGCTTCTCCCCCTCGATCGTCGCCGTGTCGTCCGACAGCACGCGGTTGGGGAAGGTCGTACCGATGGTGTAGGGACGGCTGAGGTTGACGGGGGAGGCGCTGGGGGTGAGGTTAACGAGATGATGATAAAAAGTAGGAAAGGTGGAGTGGCGTGGGCGGGGATGGAGAACGAACGGGAAGAGTCGGAGGAATAGAAAGATGGAATAGAAAAGAAAGAGAGAACGGGAAGAGGGAAGAAGACAGAAAGACGCACGCGTTGATGAAATTCCGCAAGTCGCCGACGGTGTGAGTTAGGTTCATGCGGCACACGATTCTAAGGGAGATTAATCAGTTATTTGAGAAGCGGAAATTTTTGAAAAGGAGGGAATAGAGCCAAAGGGACGAAATCGGAACGCCTCCAAGACTTGAACATCCGCGTGATGCGAGTTCCAACACAAAAAAAACTAAAAGGAAGGGAAACAAGGAAGAAAAGCAAGAGCCAACGCCCACCTCGTCCCATCCGCAAGCGTAACCCGCACGCTCGTCGTCGGCAGATTCTGGTCCACCTCAAACCGCGGCGTGATGCTGCTCGCCCCTGCCGGCGCCCTGGCGCTCGTTGTCGAACTCCCCGCATTGGAAGACGCGGAAGTGGAACTAGACCCAGGAATAGCCGCACCCAGCCTCGTCCCCTGTCCAGAGAACGGCTTGGGTTTGGGTGGGACGTAATCGTCGTCTGTACGGCGCGTGACTTGGACGTCGACGCGCTGGCCGATGCGGACGTTGAGGATCGAGGGGGGCGCGTGGCTGTTCGAGGTGAAGCGTAATTAGCATGAAAGACAATGGTGTGAAAGAACGGCATTAGGCACGCACCCCGCATGAATCGCGGCCAACACGTCCGCGTGCTGTGGGTCATCGTACCGCATCAGCGGGCCGTCCTCGACCGTGAAGCCCTCGCGCCAGAAAGTGAGGTTCCGCGTTACTCGTTCTCCTGAGCACCCACACCATTAATCAGTATTCAGGACTACCGCAACGGAGAGTAAAGGGAATGGCAATCCAAGACGAACGCACCTTCCTCCTCCAAACCCTCATTCGCACCGGGCACGTACGCACTCTGCACGCCCTCCCCGCCGAGTGTGTGTCCGCCACCGGAGAATACGCTCGTCCGTCCTTGGACGCTATCGGGGTCCGGGGCGGCGCCTTCTCTGCGTAGCGATCAATTGAAGTCAGTCTCGATTTAATGGCCCTAGAGCGCTGAAAAGGGACCGAGAAACAGGCAAAGGAAAGGGAAACAAACGCACTCTTCCGCCCTCTGCAACAGATCTCTAACCAAATTCCCTCCTGGTACCCGTGCACGATTGGGGTTCTGCACGCTGATTCCGCTGGATTCGATCGTGAATCAGTATAAACTCGAAAATGAAAGGAAATCCGACAAAGGATCCAGAAAGTTCTAGTCCATCGAATCCGAATCGCAGAGATCACAACACACCTGCGCTCCCCACCCGCGAACCACGTCTCCTGCTCGTCCTCGTCGTCGCTGTGTGAGCCGCTCATTGTAAGTCGTCGTTGGCGGTGAGTGGTGGTAAGCGGCAGAAGAGTAGCACGCGTCAGAGAGGCTGTTGCCAAACAAGCGCACTGTTGAGCACCGCCACCCCTGCGTTGACTGGTTGAGTTGAATTTGGCGCGAGATATGGCGTTGGGAAATTATATTTTAGTCCAGAGTTCTTCTTGCCATCTCAGGGCATTCTCAAGAAATATCGATATTCCTGTACTTGGAGTAAGTGAAAGTGCGTTCAACTTTTAACTGGCGTTCAAAATTGCCCGCCAAGCACTGGCAGTGGAACGCAACCATGCTCCTTGTTGTATAACTGCGGAGAATTCAGCGATTGGGAATTTTCCTAAAACTCTCCGCGACTCACAGCTCTATAACACGGCCGGGAGGATTCGAACCTCCAACTTCCTCTGAAGTTGGGTTGTCACTGCAGGACACAGAGAGGATGACCACCATAGTCCACGCCCGGTTCTGCATATGATTTTTCTTCGACTGAGACACGAGCACGTAAGAATCGCGAATATACGTATCGACCGCAGCTGAACGTTGAACGGCTCCGAGTCCAATGATTGAAGCACAATGGATTCAAGTAATGCAGATGATCTTGCCGCCACTGTGCATGCACCACTGAGAGGAGTACAGAAAAATCTGAATCATCCAAAAGGTTTGTTGCACTAGACTACTCACGCCGTCGGGAGGATTCGAACCATGATCGGGTACTCAGATAGTAGTGGATGGCGACCACGGTCTACGACAGCTTGATGTAGGAGGAAAGGGGGCCGATAACTGCACGCCTTTCACAAGTGACTAACCCGAGCGCGAATATTTGAACTTCCACTGAATTTCCTCCGGTGCAAGACCTCTTTTCCCTTGGTCACCACCGGCAATTCAACATCGTTTAAGTATTCTTTAAGTCAAAAAAGAAAAAAAGAAAAAAACCTCAGGATCCGATACGCGGCTAGGAGGAATTGAAGCTCCGCCTCCCTCTGACTTCGCTCGTAATTGTTACGATGACGGAGAGAGGGTGACCACCATAGTTCACGGCCGCTTCTACACATAGCTTTTCTTTGATTGAGCCTAGGGGAATCGCACAAAGTACGTAGGGATGGCAGGGGAACGGCTAAATTAAATGCGGTTCCCTGCACACACCAATCATGAAGGCAAAATGGGTTCAAGCTGCATACATGCACCAGCTAGACTCAGAGGGGTACAGGCTGGTAGATAGAAAGCACCGAGTTGTGTATCATCCAAAAAGGTCTATGCAACATGCAGCAACTACGCCACGCCGCCGGGAGGATTCGAACCTCCGACTCCTTCTTGCATACAATTCTGACCAGAAATTGTAGGTGGGCGACCACCACGGTCTACGACGGCTTGAGTACAGGAGGAAAGGACCTGCACACCTTTCACAAGTGACCAACCCATAGTAGGAGCGCGAATATTCAAACTTCCGCTGAACTTCCTCCGGTGGAAGACCTCCTTTCCCTTGGTCAACACCGGCAATTCAACATTGTTCAAAGAAAAAAACCCTTAGCAGTCAAGCCCGATATGCGAATCGACTCCGCTCTCTGACTCTTGCACTGCAGCTTTAACGGAGAGAGAGGGCGGCGACCATAGTAACAACCGCTTTCCCTCGCTGTCCCTTTATCAGTGAGACCAGCTGGTAGCCTTCAACTTTCGTTGTCTCAACAACGGTAGTTGGGTGACCGCGGAAGAATATTGGAATCCTTACCGAATCCGTCACTTGCGCGTGTAGGGAGTTTGTTGTGGGGGTTCCGTGGTTCGAGCCTTGGGGGCCAGCGGATCGGCAACAGCAATACGTGGACCAATAAATTATAACTTGACGAACATAGAAGGCCCCCTTTCCTCATCCCGAATTGACCGAACTCGCCGCCGATGCCAAAAGCTCCCGAACCACAGAATAAAATCAAGTACATCATCGCAGTACCCTAAAGCACTAATGTGTCTCCAACTCTGCGGGGAAGGCCAGAGACGCGAGAGTCTCCGTCACATGTCGCACATCCCACATATTTCGGTCCTTTGGCAGCTCATTCGCGAGTCGCTCGAGTGTGGCATCCACCCGCGCGGTGTGGCTGCGAAAAGGAATAGCGAACCAGTGCGCTTCATTTGCAAGAAGGAATACCATAACGTCCAGGCGCATCCGCCCCCTGCTGCGCGCTACCCGCGAAACAATGTCCGTCCACTCAACACCAGCGAGAAGGTCTGTAATGGCGTTGCTACTAAGCGATTGGGGCGCGATTTTGACGACTGCTTCGGTGTAGTCATAGAGCAGGAAGTACGGCTCCCCAGGGTAGGCATGCCTGAAGAGTAGTTCCCCCTGTAATAGGGTGGTTTTCGATCTTTGGTAATCGTGATTCATGAGAGCGCGGAAAAAGCCTCGGTCTCGAGTGGAGACATGGAATTTACTGGCCTCGCCTGTGTGAGAAGCATCTGTTCGGTGGAGATCACAGCGACGAGAATAAGAGAGTACTCACTGAGATACAGCGTTCCGTACGATGACCACCAGCGCTCCAATCAGAGACTTGGCATGCTCTGCAGCAATAGTAGAGACTGAGGCAGCCGGAGCAACGCTCAAATAATGTTTTCGATTGTATTATGAGGCACTGAACAAACATAAGCAGACCATTCCGAAGATAAGTATGAAATTACCTCGAGATTATCACACACCCGCAAGGAGGATATTTCATCAGAGAAACGGGACTTCAGGATTTGGAGGCGTTCGTGTGCGAGGGAGCTGAAAGCAATCCACTTTTCGTACACTTCCGATCGCTGAAATGCATTTGTGTTAATCAGGTCCACGATATCTTCGAGGGCGGGACCCAGCGCCCTGAGAACCGCATGATGTATAAGGTGTGTGGGAAGGACGATACCCACCCAATGGTTCATGCATTGCTGCAGAGGAAGGGGGCCAGATATCTGCATACAGGTGGCTACTGCACGAAGGAGACCGAATTTGAGGGCCATCGGGAGGCCCTGATATCCGGGGGACTTGACAAGTACGACCGCCAGGAAGTTGAAGGTTTGTCGAAGGATTTCTGCTGTGTAGTCAATCTCGATGGGGTCCTGAATCAAGGAGCGCGTGGCGGCGCAAAGAGCGTTGGTTAAAACCCGAACAACGTTTTGTGAGATGAGCGCGATGCCAAAGGCGCCGAGGGGGAGAACAGGTCCCTTTGTTTCGTCAAGCGAGGGGTCGATTGCTTTGAGAAATTGGAGTAGACCGGCCAGTACATGCATAGCAATAATATCCATGACAGCCGGTGATCTAGGCACCAGGAGAGCCAGGGATAGGGTGGCTACACGAGCAAGCTCGTGGAATGTGCCACCTACGCCTTCAATGATTTCTGCCAGATTATCGGGTTTAACGGCCTCTGGTGCCTGGATGAAGGCGGACAGGTCACCAAAGAGGACTTGGCGCTTCAGAGGATCTACGGATTGAGTGAGATGAAGCCATGCCTCTCCGAGCATGACCCAGAATCCGGGGGTGGACTTGATCAGGGCGTAGCTCGCCTGATCGTCGCTGAATGTTCCCGCGAACATTAAAAGGTCGACGGAGAGCGGGCTCTCAGGCAGTCGGATTTATGCGGATTGGGCTTAACCCGCGTAAATGACCGCGGAATAAGTGAAAGAATCGGGTCCATCGCCAGACACGGGGCCAAGCATCAGTCCCGACACCGAGGGGAAGTCGATGATATAGAGTGATTGTAGGGAACTCCATGCCCTTTCGATCGCGCTTTCGGTCACAGGCGACATTGTTTCGGGATCGAAGCCATTTTCGCCAGGAATTTCGTCGGGATCCAGGTTAAAGTAGAAGGCTGGGACCATACAGCGTTTCTGGTCGTCTGTTAATGTGCGGAGATATGCGCGTAACCGTCCCAAATCGTGTGCTGAGCGATCCGCCGAGCAAGCAGCCAATGCCACCCTCTGAAGGCTACTTAAGCGGGGGTTGCTGCTAAAGACAAAGAGAGTTTTACCCGCATGGCCGGGGGGAGACGGTTGAGATTACTGAGGCGCAGCGCGGGGTGCATGACGAAAAGAGGAAAAGAAAAGGACCGAATTGATGCGACCGCTTCCATCTGATTTGCGTTGCTGTGTTGGCGTCTAAAAACAGTCTGACTCTGAAAATGCCTCGATAACACTCAACGAACTCAATACTCGAAGAAGTTGACCCATTTAGGCCTGACAGGAGGCAAACCTACAAAGTTCCGCGGATAATATGGACTGAAAATCGAACATGACCTTGAAGCGTAAAATATTCACAAACAGGAACGAAGTGACGTATGGCGGTCACATTGCACATTTATTATTCTGACCTTTTTTTTTCACTTTTCACCTTTTTTTTCGGGTTTCCAACTTCTTGAACTTTTTTTTTTCATGTTGCCATAGTTTTTTTTTCAAGATCATGAAATCTTTCAAAACATCGGTGGCAATGTGTTTTATGGAGCATGCGTAGTAGGAATGAGCGGCACCCCTAAATTGGGGTTTATCACTGACTGATGGCCGGGATCAATCAATCCTGTACCTCTGCCTCTGAGGTAGAGCCTGCTGCTAACATCGGCAAGCTGTGATGTAGTATGGTGAGCACTGAGCCCTTCACAGGCACACTTGACTAGTTTTAGAACCAAGATGTGTGAACTTGGCTCATTGTGCCGATCGAGGCCATCAAGCGGCAAGTCGGCATGCACAGCCCCCGTACCGAGAAAAATAGTTGAAATCTTGCTTCATATAAAGTTCACTTCAATTATGGAACAACTGATGACAACCTCTGTTCACATGACAAAAAATGTGGCTGGAAGAGGGAACATGAAAAAAAAGAAGTACAGAAAGTTGAAAACCTGGAAAAAGGGTGGAAAAGTGAAAAAAAAAAGCCCGGAATAATAAATGTGCAAAGTGACCGCCATAGTGACGGTTTGTGCTCACTCCACCGAGAATGTCCGCAAAAACGACACGTGCCGTGCTCAAAACGTGATCACTTGTCATTACTGCTGACATCTTGAGTTCACTTCCAGTTTTCAGGTCTTTTAGCCCCCAGCGTCGTCGTCAGGCCCCAAAATTTGAAGTTGTGATGACTGCATTGTGAGTTAGAATATTTCTCCCCTCACGAAGACCACAATGCAGTACAGGTACACGAGAATTTCGAACAAAGGTCCAAAGGAACGAGGTTGAACATTATTTCGGGCTCTCGGATGCCTCAATCCCGAGTCCATCTCTGATGATTACTTAGATACACTCTGTTTGTGCCCGCCGCTTGCCGGCCACTTACAATCATGACGGTTTGTGCTCAGAGGTCCGAAAATGTCGCCAAAAGCGCAACGTGACTTGTGCACGAACGTGATCACTTGTCATTCCTGCTGACATCGTGGTTTAACTTCCTGATTTCGGTGTCTTTTATTCCACCAGGGTCAGCTTCACCCCCAGAAATTTCATCTCATGGATGACTGCAATGCAAATCGAAATATTTGTCTCTTCTTCTGCCTCACCAGCACCAAATTGCAGTACAGCAATATGTACATACAACACACGCGAGAACTTTGAGCCGAGGAACGAGGTTGGTGAGTGTTTCAAGCTCTCGGATTCCTCAATCCCTTGGTGTTGAACATTTGGACACCCGAAGATTGTACAACGATAAAGTTTATGGTGTCGTTGTTGAACTTCAGTACCCTCCAATAATGAATCCTGTTTGTGCCCGCCGCTCGCCGGCCACTTCCAATCATTCAAGGGTCTTGAAACAGTTGGGTGGATGCTTGAGAGCACATGACTCGTCTACATCACATTGTGCTCAATACACCTCCTGTATTTGGCAATCGAACTCAACTTTTGGTTCCTGTCGGAATTATCCATGAGCTATTCACAATGTAGTACGCATAGCGAGTAAAAAAAGACCAAGAACGATATGTGCATATTGCCTAGTCTCTCGTAGACAAACGCTTCAACACGAAGCTTTTTTTTTACCTCATATATGTTGCCTACAATAATAACCAAGAATATCGATTGTTTAGCGCAGTCAGGTCATCAGGTGTGCACTTGAACTCGAGCGCTTCTTCAACTTTGTGCGGATTGGGCTGGGAGCGCATAAGCTTCGTCTTCTCGTGGGGGTCTCTCTGTTTGTTCGTTGTGATGAGGACCTCAAAAATGAAGCAATGTTCACATTTCCCCCTGGTGGAGCGCATCAAGTTCTCCATGATTCACACCGGGGCAAAGATCGACACACGGCTTTCGTGTGTGATTAATTCACACCCGTCTCACATGCACGGCAGATGCGATGCACGGATGGGCCGAATAATATGATATGAATATATATTCAGTGACACCAACTTTGACCAGAAGCGAGTTTCAGGAAGATTTGGGAGTCAACC